CTCCATCTCCTCCTCTTCTCCTCCTCCTCCTCCTCCTCCTCCTCTTCTTCTCCATCTCCTCCTCTTCTCCTCTTCTCCTCCTCCTCTCCTCCTCTTCTCCTCCTCCTCCTCCTCCTTCCAGGCTTTTCCCAGCCTGGAGCTGGCAACCCTATGGTTAGGGCCAAAGAACCCCCCACACACACGGGAAGTACAATTTCACTTTCCGTGTTGCAGGTGTTACATTTGGAGAACGACAAGAGTCACTAGCAGGCTTCTGCTCTTGCTAGGGGTTGCCAGGGGATAGGGGGGAGTGGGGTTGCCAGATCCAGTCTGGGAAACCCCTGGAGATTTGGGGGTGGAGCCTGGGGAGGGCGGGGACCCCCTCAGTGGGGGCACAATGCCACACAGGCCCCCCCCCCCCTCCAAAGCACCCATTCTCTCCAAGGGGGAACTGATCTCTGTGGTCCGCTGTAATCCCAGGGGATCTCCAGGCCCCACCTGGAGGCTGGCATCCGGAGCTCTTAAGACCGGGGGGGGGGGTTGCCTGTGCTTTCCACCTCCTGCGAAGATTTGTCAGTTCATATTTCAGTCTCTGTTGGGACTCGCCCTTTGAAACCGAAACTTGGAAATAAATATCCCAGCGATGTCATCTGGAGAGCTGCGATTAAAAAGGGGGGCGGGGGGGGAGCGTCGAGGGTGCATTTTTTTAGCCGTCCGTGTTGGTGGAAATCACGTGACTTCTGAGCAGCCTTTAGACCCTTTTATATAATAGCAGGAAATAGACTTTATATTAGGTGCTGCAGTGAGCCTGGCTCCACCGGCCGGCCCACTGCAAAGACGCCCAGCCAAGAACGCCTTTTGCAGAAGGGACGCCAATCAGTTTGGAGCTTAAGCAAAACAAGGAAATGCTTAAAAAAAGAAAGAAAAAAACAGCATCGGGCATAACTATCAGTGCTTCTCTTTGGCCCATAAGCATCCCTCCACCCCAACCCTTTGGTGTAGTTTGGTGCGGGAACTCTAATCTGGGAGAACCGGGTTTGATTCCCCACTCCTCCACTTGCAGCTGCTGGATGACCTTGGGGAAGCCGTAGTTATGTCAGAGCTGTTCACTCAAGGACAGTTCTCTCAGAGCTTTCTCAGCCCCACCTTCCTCACAGGGCGTCTGTTGTGGGGAGGGGAAGGGAAGGGAGTTTGTAAGCCGCTCTGAGACTCTTGAGTGAAGGGCAGGGTATAAATCCAATCTCTCCCTCCTGCTCCCCCCCCCCGCCGTGTTAGTTCCCTCAGACTGTAAGCTCATGGAGGGCAGAGACCTGCCTGTGCTGCCACCACCCCATCCGTGATCTATTAATTTTAATTAATTATTTTTAATTACAAAGTATGAATCCTTTAATTACAAAGTATGAATCCTTTAAGACCAACAAAGTTTTATTCTGGGTTCAAGCTTTCGTGTGCAGGAACACAAAAGCTAAGACCCAGAATAAAACTTTGTAGGTCTGAAAGCTGCCGCTGGACTCAAACTTTGTTCCGCTGCTTCCGACCAACACGACGACCCTGCCTGAATTAATTTTATTTACGTTCGTTATAATCTGCTTTTCTCCCTTGCACTCAAGGAGGATTATACAGCGCCAGTCAATACAATCTGCGAGCCAGTCTGGTGTAGTGGCTAGGAGCGCGGGCTCTAATCTGGGAGAACCGGGTTTGACTCCCCACTCCTCCTCCACATGCGGCCAGCTGGGTGACCTTGGGTCAGTCACAAGTTCTCTCGGAGCTGTTCTCTCAGGAGCAGTCCTCAAAAGAGCTCTCTCAGCCCCACCTGCCTCACAGGATGTCTGTTCTGGGGAGGGAAAGGGAAGGGAGTTTGTTAGCCGCTCCGAGAGTCCTTCAAGTAGTGAAGGGCGGGGTATAAATCCAATCTCTTCTCTTCTCTCAATCGACAGGATGGGATATTCAATCAATAATGCAATAGGATTAAATGTGTAGAACCAACCAGAAATTTAAAGAAGAGCCCTGAAGCAAAGCAATTTGTTAACATGACACATTAAATGACGCCACGTTACATCGTAGGATCCAGCCAGCGTACAGCAAACTATGCCCAGTGGCCCAGAACACAGTCCCAAATACTTTGTCCGAGAAACGCTGTGAATCGTTTTTTGCAGGGTGACCCAGTTTTGCACAGTTTGTGGAAAGCCAGGAGAGGACAGGCCAGTCCATAAGGTAGGGGCCACCATGGAGAAGGTGCTGTCGCGGGAACTCTACCATATGCATGGCCTTCTCCGCTGTGGCCCCCACCTTATGGAACAACCTGTCCGAGGAGATCAGGAAGGTACCCCCCCTCCCCTGGCTTTCCCCAACCTATGAAAAACTGAACTATTCAGGAGGACTGTTCTACGAGTAGCAAAAGGTAAAGGTAAAGGTTTCCCTTGCTCGAGAGCCAGCTGAATCCGACTAGAGGGTGGTGCTCATCTCTGTTTCCAAGCTGAAGAGCCAGCGCTGTCTGAAGATGTTTCCACGGTCATGTGGCCGGCCTGACTGTCTAGCACGGAACGCTGTTGCCTTCCCACTGAAGCAGTACCTATTTATCTACTTTCTTGCTGGGAGCTGGGGCCAGAGACTGGAGCTCACTCCCTCACGCAGCAGTAGAAGAAGAAGAAGAAGAAGAAGAGATTGGATTTATACCCCCCCCTTCACTTGGAGTCTCAGAGCGGCTTACAAACTCCTTTCCCTTCCCCTCCCCACGACAGACACCCTGTGAGGTGGGTGGGGCTGAGAGAACTCCGACACAAACTGCTCTTTTTTCAAGGACAGCTGTGCCAGAGCTTGTGACTGACCCAAGGTCACATCAGCAGGTGCAAGTGGAGGGGTGGGGAATCAAACCCGGTTCTCCCAGATTAGAGTCCGCGCACTTAACCACTACACCCAACTGGCTCTCAAACTGCAGGGTCTCGAACTGCCGAACTATTGACCTTCCGGTCTGCACCTCAGCATCTTAACCTCTGAGCCAACGCAGCCCCTGTTCTATGAGTTACTCTATACTAAATGATTCACAAAGTTACTTAGACAAGTCATTAGGGACTGTGGTCCTGTGCTGCTCTGTTTCGCTTACAGAAACTAGGTTCTGTCAGAACCCACAGCCAGCAGCGGAGTACACACTTCTTTAGAAAGGTTATACTTTTATTGAAGAGCCATAGATGCATTAACACAGTCACTGTTAAGAATGGCAGTTGCCTCTTGAACCTAATGAGATATAGGGCATTCGTATGCACCCCCCCCCCCCACTGCGCTGGCCAATTATGCACCCTCCCCCGTGCGGGCTAGAGCCGGCAAGCGTTACTATGCGAAGCTGGGGATTGTCCGGCTCCCACGGCTGGCCTGGAAGGCAGACAACACACGCCACCACCTGTACTTCTTAAGAGGTAAGCATTTCAGCGCAAAGCAGAGAGAGAAGAATGCAAAAGCAATTTACACAGACACTGAAAGACCATCCCAACCCCCATGGCAGCATAGCTGACAGGTTCCTACTATGTGGTTTTTGTATCAGTTAATGTGTTGTGTTTAGCTTACTGAAACTACAGTTATGTAATTTCTGTATCATTTAATGTGTCATGTTAAGACTTAGGCTTTGCTTCAGTTCTTAGACTCCCGGTTGGTTCTACAACCTTAATCCTATTGTATGGTTAGCGTAATACCCTACCCTGTCAATTGTGTTGACTCAACTCACTTCTTGCGTTGAGTCCAAGTGAGACAGCATGCTGTGTGAGACGGGATGCTGGACTAGATGAACCCTCACTTGTCTGATCCAGCAGGGCTCTTCTGAGGTTCTTCTCAGGGGAAGGCCTCGGCCTCCCTGCCCTGTTGCTGGCCCTCCAGAGGAACCAGTTGGCCACTGTGTAAGACGGAAGGCTGGACTGGAGGGACCCTCACGGGTCTGATCCTGCGGGGATCTTCTGATGTTCTTATCTGGGAGAAGTCCTCGGCCTCTCTGCCCTGTTGTTGGCTCTCTAGGGGAACTGGTTGGCCACTGTGTAAGACGGAAGGCTGGACTAGATGGACCCTCACTGGTCTGATCCAGCAGGGCTCTTCTGAGGTTCTTCTGTGAATTTTTTGGTGCTGTGCTGATTTCAGCAATTCCACCTGGGAGAAGTTCCTCCTCTCAGAGAACAAGAAAGTCCCTGAAATGATTGTTCTGCAGTCAGTTGCAGATATCGGAGCATTCTGAGAATCTGGACGGATCCATTTTTCGCTGTGTCGGCATTAGCCAAAAAATCTCTGCTTCTTTGGAAGTGTGTTTTAAGCACTGATTAAATGAGGAAACGGCTTGCCTGATTTCCCCGCCACGCCGAATTTAAAAATGCCACAGTCCTTTTCTCACTTCATCTTTTCCGCAGTGCTTACAGGATGCAATTCTGGTCTCCGATATTAATATGTGAACCGTCCGGTTCGCGTCTCGAGTCCTCTTCCCGGCGCTGAATCCCGCCGGCATGAACCTCTTCCAGGAGATCCTGCCGGGAGTGCGAGAGGTCCTGAGCAGGGCTTCGGCCTTCCAGATTCAGGCCCTGCTGGACCTCATGTCCGAATCGGGCATCATCTCCAGGGAATACCTCCAGACTTTGCTCCACGAGAAAGACAGGGAGGATCTAGCGAGGAAGATCTGCTTGACTCTGGTGGGAAGGCAGGACTTGCTTCCGGACTCCTTTGCGCCTCAGGGTCACCTGCAGTTCTGTGGCGACAACCGAGGAGATGCGTGGGAAGCGAAATCGGCCAGGACTAGAAGCTTGGGCGGTAAGTTTACTTTATCGAATGCTATTTATTCCATGGGCACGGGTGGTGTGAAGAAACACGATGCCCCATTTTGATCGATCCTTATTGTTGAATGCGTCTATATTTGCTTTATTTCTGTCATGTGTTTCTCCCTCACGGAGACTGACGGCAACTTTGCAAGGTAGGTTAGGCTGGGAGCTTGCGGCAGGCCCAAGGTCCATCCGCTGAGCTTCTGCGGCAGGGATTCAAACCCAGGTCCTGTTACATCAGCCTCGTACATCATTCTCTGCTCCCTTCATCCTGTCCTCAGACACAATAACTTTGCAAGGTTAGGCTGGGAGCTTGTGGCAGGTCCAAGGTTACCCGCTGAGCTTCAAGCAGGGATTTGAACTCAGGCCCTAGTTCGAGACCCGGGTGCCGCATGACGGAGTGAGCTCCCGTCTCTAGTTCCAGCCCCTGCCAACCTAGCGGTTCGAAAGCAAGAAATTGCAAGTAGATAAATAGGTACCACTTCGGTGGGAAGGTAACAGCCTTCCATGCGCCTTGGTGTTTAGTCATGCCGGCCACATGACCACGGAAACGTCTTCGGACAGCGCTGGCTCTTCGGCTTTGAAACTAAGATGAGCACCGCAACCCTAGAGTCGGATTCGACTGGCTTTCGAGCAAGAGAACCTTTACCTTTACCTAGTCAGGCACTCTACCGCTATGCCAGCAATCCTGGTTGGCCGATGGAGAACTGAGCCTAAGCGCAATGGGGAAACGCACCTCTGCTGCATTTGGGAGACGTGTATGATCTCCTCTGCTGAGATCAAGCTGGAAAGAAACGTGCTTTTCCACTTGGTACTGGGAGAGCTGCGCGCAGGGCTGATTGGCCGGTCCTCGTGTCAGTCACAGAGCTCCCGCCTTCCCCTTATCCGAGCGGTTAATCTGGGGACTATGCAGAGGGGAAGAATTGGGGCCAAGGAAAGGTGCGCCCAAAGCAGAAAGCCGGAAATAATTTGGGGTGTGCAGAGTACGGAATTGCAAGTGATCGACGCAGAGGAATCATGGCCACAGGAGAAGCCAAGGGACTGAGCGCTGTTACTGAATTCAGGCCGCCTTCCCTTCAGAACGAAAGCGTGGGTTTCACGTGTCCCGTTTTAGAGATGACAGAGACATTACTTCCTCATGACAGATACTGAATCCACAGTGGAGAAGCACGGGTCTGACGGTTCGGAGGGGGGTTAGCAAGAGACTGGCATGTTCTGGATCTTATGGGCTGCCCTAGGTGGGGAAGTCCTACACCCTCCGCCAGATCTGATATGCAGGCCATGTACCGGAAGACACACAGCTGTACTCCCAGGACCAGCTTATTCAATAGGCACACTGCCTAGGGCCAACTATACTTTTAGGGGCCCACACCAGTTTGGTGTAGTGGCTAAGTGTGTGGATTCTAATCTGGGAGTTTGAGTCCCCACTCCTCCATATGCAGCTGCTGGTGTGACCTTGGGCCAGTCACAAGTTCTCTCAGAGCTGTTCTCTCAAGGGCAGTCCTCGAAAGCACTCTCTCAGCCCCACCTACCTCACAAGATGTCTGTTGTGGGGAGGGGAATGGAAAGGAGATTGCAAGTCACTCTGAGACTGCAGGGTATGTGTGTGTGCCTCCCCCAAGAGCACTACGGTCGGGGACGCAACATCTGGTGACCCCAGGCCCCTCAAGGAGGCCAGGCTTGCTGGTACTAGGGCCAAGGCCTTTTTGGTGGCGGCTCCTACCTGGTGGAATGAGCTCCCGGAAGAGATCAGGGCCCTGTGGGACCCTGCATAGTTCCACAGGGCCTGTAAGACGAAGCTCTTCCGCCAGGCTTTCGATTAGGAGCTGCCACCATCACTACCACCAACAAGGAGTTTGGTAACAGCGGGGTATTGGAATGGCCTGGCGACAAACACACTGTGGCACTATGGCGCATGGAGACCACTGAACTGAGATCTGTTTAAATATCCTCCTGATATCGTTTACTAAATGAAGAGCCAGTTTGGTGTCGTGGTTAAGTGTGCGGACTCTAATCTGGGAGAACCGGGTTTGATTCCCCCACTTCTCCACTTGTCCTGCTGGTGTGACCTTGGGTCAGTCACAAGCTCTGGCACAGCTGTCCTTGAAAAAGAGCAGTTTGTGGCAGAATTCTCTCAGCCCCACCCACCTCACAGGGTGTCTGTTGTGGGGAGGGGAAGAGAAAGGAGTTTGTAAGCCGCTCTGAGACTCCAAGTGAAGGGCGGGGTATAAATCCAATCTCCTCCTCCTCCTCCTCTTCAGGTTGTGAAGGGTGGGGTATAAATCCAATCTCTTCCTCCTCCTCCTCCTGCTTCTTCTTCTCCTTCTTCTTCTTCTTTTCTTTTAAAACCAGAAGGGGGGAAATGAACTTTTAAATGAACTTTTTAAAATGAACAAATCTATTGATTTTTTCCTCTTATCAGAAAAGAATGAAATTTTAGGACCCACGAAAACCGATTACATTTTGCCTACAACAGAATTATTATTTTTTGAAGTGCTTCAAGTTACAGCAAAAATAATTTTTAATATTGATATTGTTATGGTGTGAAGGGCCCACTAAAGTCATAATGCGGCCCTGTGTGCCACAAAGACGCCAGAAAACGCTACTTTCCACGCGCGGCCATCTAGCAGAAGACACGGCTGGACACGATGCCCGAGGCAAAGTCATTCCTGAATAAATGGAAGCATTAAGGCCGGCGGTCTGGATTGGTTCCGCTGAAGTTCTGCAACTTCCCTTAGGAAAAGGCACGTAGCCGAGACATTTCCATTTTGGTGAAAATGCATTCTTGACCCCAAGTTAGCAGATGAACCCCAATCCTGTAAGAGAATCCACACAGTGAGGATTGTGAGGAATGATCCTTCTCTCGGTCACGAGCTTTGATGAACAAACACTCTGCACATGCTCAGGAGTCCTCTGACGATTGCTTGTATTCTATAAGTGACCATAGCCAACTTTCAAAGATCGAGGATACAGACGGGTTTTCCCTGACCGACAAACGCACCTTAATCTGTGTGAGGAACTGCTGTCTTCAGGAAAAGACCAGAAGGTCCCCGGGGCATGTGCAGAGTTCCTTTTCTTCTCCAGTTCTTGCATAGCAGGGAGGAGAAAGAAGAAGAGGAGGAGGAGGAGAAAGAGGAGATTTGATTTATACCCCACCCTTCACCAGTGTTCCCTCTAAGCTGAATTAGTGTGAGCTAGCTCACAGTTTTTCAGCCTCCAGCTCACACATTTTAGTCTTGGCTCAGGGAGGATGTTTCCAGAGCAAACTAATTTATGCAGTAGGCAAATCGCTTGCTCACAGCTTTAATGCCAGTAGCTCACAAAGTAGAATTTTTGCTCACAAGACTCCACAGGTTAGAGGGAACATTGCCCTTCACTACCCGAAGGAGTCTCAGAGCAGCTTACAATCTCCTTTCCCTTCCCCTCCTCAGAACAGACACCCTGTGAGGTAAGTGGGGCTGAGAGAGCTCTCTCGGGGACTGCTCATGAGAGAACAGCTCCGAGAGAACTTGAGACTGCCCAAGGTCACGTCAACAGCTGCATGTGGAGGAGAAGTGGGGAATCAAGCCCGGTTCTCCCAGATTAGAGTTAGTGCTCTTAACCACTACACCAAATTCAGGTTTCTGTAGCCAAACCCTGGCACTGTGTCAGTCAGGGGTGCCAATGAAAGGGTAGAGATCCCCCCTGGTGAATGGACACGGCCGCTTGGAGGTCTGACACTTCAGCGGATGAACCACATACACCCCTGGGGGAAGTTGGCTGGCAGAAGCCCAAGTGGTAGAAAAGGAAGGGAAATGCACACTGTCCCTGCAGGGTTGTCTTTGTCTGGGGAAGCTGAGGGCCATTCCGATACCAGCAGGGCCTGTTGTGGGTGCTCCGTCATTCCCTGGATGCAGGCAGGTTTTCCTAAGGGGAGCTGAAGGTCTCGGGGCAAGACTGGTGTTTTTGTTTTTGTTGATTCAATGTATTAAACGCCCTATACTAGCTTTGCCGGGCTCCGGGCGATGTACAAGAGAGGCATAATGCCATAGAACAAGATACAGATTTTACAGTCCAACGCAGTTAATGAGAATAAAGCCAGAATAAAACCCCAAGTGGCAATTTAGTTTTTTGTTCCCTTTTCTTGGCTATATGTTGGCTTCCTTTTCACTTTGGAGGAAGCTTTGAGCTCACTAAGAGAGACTTTTTGCAGCATTCATTGAAAAATTTGGATAAATATTTTGGTATTTGGCAACCTCGTGCTTGGAAATCTCTGTTGAACTCCCTGAGGAAGACACTGAAACAGGAGGATATCCGGACCTCTGTTGGAGGAAGACTGAGCACTTATTCAGAATAGACTTAAAGGAATCCTCCCTCTTAAAACTTTTGTATAATTAAGGAGGACTGGTATTAATAAAGGGGTTGTGCAATATCTTTTGTGATATATAAAGAGACAATACTTAGGTGTTTTGTATTAAGGCTTATATGATAAATAATATATGGTGAATAAATTGTAAAAATATAAAACAAAAATATATAAAAATTATTTGAGATATTTTATCATCGCCTGTGGCACGGTGTTTACTGATTTTTGGCCCCTGTTAAAGGACATTTTTTTCCTCTCCAGGCCTGTCGGCAGCTCCGTTTGGAGAAGGGGACGTTCGCTGCCCGGCCCATTAGGAGAGAGGAGAGACTCACGGTTTCCATGACGGCTGCTTGTTGTGGATTGGGAGCTACTGGGAAGCAGATTTTGTTTCCCACTTCTGCACGGGTGTACCCAGGGCTTTTTTTGTAGAAAAAGCCCACCAGGAACTCTTTAGCATAATAGGCCACACCCAACAGCAGAAACTCATTAGCATATTAAGCCACACACCTGTGTGTTACCAGAAGTGTGGTCATCCAGCCACACCCACTTTTTGCTTCTTATTCTGTTTTTGTAGCAGGAACTCCTTTGCATGTTAGGCCACACACCCCTAATGTAGCCAATCCTAATGAGTTCCTGCTGTTAGGTGT